TCTCCCTCTACCCATTCAATTTATTTCAAATCTACAGAAAAAAAGACGGTTCCTGGAGAGAGATGAACAGCCGTAGAGTTTCTTTTTAATAGAAAATGAAACACTTGTAAGGATTAAAATGTACGGTAAAAGAAACATTCTCTGAACTAGCAAAAGTTTCCAGTGTTATCCTTAGTCTCCGGGAAAATTTGGAGCACAAATCTGAAGGTAATGCTCGTGTTTAATGGAGCCTAGTAGCTTAAAATGTTTGTAAAAAAAATAACACCAAATTCAATATCACTGGAAACAGAAAAACAGTGGGCCGTCCATGAGGATGAAAAATTTTATAAAGCAAAATTTCATGATTTAAGATCAGTAAATATGTTCCCCAAATTTCCTAAAGCAATAAAAAAACTATAACTTGAATTTCTGTTCAAAAAGAATCATTTAATTTTTGAACAGTTCTATCTGTTCATTGTAAAAAAGATTTGATATTTCTGCAATAATCACACTTTCAACAGAAATTAAGCAAGAAAATAACATTTTGACGCAGATCGGTCAAAACAGACATAAATAAATGTCACTAACTATCAGATTGCCAGTCACTGGGATTTTGCTTGCTGTGTCTGTATTGCGGAGGTCTCAGAAATCAAATTTCATCCAATTGGAGAATTTGTTACGCAGCTTATGGAGACTTTGACAAACAATCGAAATGGGTGTTGTGTCAATACAGTGTAGACACTGCCAAGCACGTGGTTCAAGACTTGACTCCAGGAGCAAATTCGTTGATATGACATGTTAATTTTCAATTGAGAATGCATCCAAATTTTGTGTGAAAGCTTAAAATGTCATTGCAAAGGAGGTTGGAAAATCTTTCACACTAGTTTTATCAGAGGGACAGGAAGGTGGACGGGTTTTAATAGTTCCATGAGAGTCGTTAAAACATTGGTTTCATGACCGAAAAGTTCGCTGACTACCAAAGAACCGCATGTCATTTTTTTGCATTTTTTTTAACGGCAGGCCTACTCTTTTAATGTATCTGCAATACTTGTTATACCAAATCTTCTAATTCTGGGCGTTATCGTGTTTGTGACTTGTGAAGGTGTTTCCGTTGGTAAATTCTTGCAAGGTCTGAAGGTCTAGGCATTATGTGTGTTTCAACGTAAGGCATCGTTTGTGAATTTCAGCTTATGTTCGCCCATCATTAGCAAAGAGGGGCGCAAAGTTTCCCAAACAGTGCTTTGCATTTCTCCCATATGGTGGCAGTCAAGTCTTCGCGAATCGGCCTTTACCTTCGCAAAAGAAAGGACTCCCCGGACAATTTCTGAAATTGCACCGCAATTCGCAAAGAATTCTTCGCAGTAAATCGATCGCAAAAAGGTCCTATACTTCTAAGCGGTTACAGTAGTGATTATGGGGGAAAGTAAGATAGCCATACAGAATATACCAGTGAGCATTAGAAGAAAACAAAGTTAGACACTTAGGTCAACAAAATTCATGTTAATGAAAATGAATTTGTGCTGTATGGCCAACAATCAGTGTTTTTGACAGTTTTAACAACAGTGGACTTGTTCAGCTTTGTCATTTTGGCAATTTGAGAAACATGTAAGAAGCAACTGGCTGAGGACAAGGTGTTCATTGTTACTCCTGGAGTACATCTTAGATGTAAGATTTGTGATCACCATTTCCCAGGAACTGAGCAGCATAATTGTACAGATGGAGTGAAGTTGAAGTGAAGTAGTTGAAGTGAGCGGTCAATTTGTTTTTGCTGCTTCTTTGCCAATGCCCATCTAATTAATTGTGTGCTGATGGCTCTAATCTAGATGTTTTTGTACTTCGCCCCTGTAAGTTTCCTTGAGTATCTTGGAAGATCCTATCTCAAGGAGTCACTCATTGACTGGTTTTCGTTCTTCAGAGACATGCCCAACATGGCTTTTGGCAAAATCCTGTGCAGCTTGGAGGACCAGGCTACATTCACAAAGATGAAATGGACAAGTGTATGCTAAAAGGAAAGCAGAAGTACAGTTGAGGCTTGCCTGTCGCTCCTAGTCATCAGTGGGTATTTGTATCTTGGGACCTGCTGCCTGCATCCTTTGTGGAAAGTACTACCTGCTCGGATAGTGCACTCATGTATACTATTCTTTAACAGGAAGGATATCATGTCTAAAGTTATCACGATGTAGAGTTTGTCACCCACATTGCATACAGAGTGGAGGTCCATTCCAACAGGATCGAGGGTTGATGGGAGGATTCAAAGCTTAGAAGTAAATGAGAGCCATTGTACAGAATATGCTGTCTTAACACCTAGGTGAACTTATGTACAAGTAGCATCAGGGCGATGGTGACTCACTGCATTTCTTTATTGCGGACATTGTATTACAACCTTCTACCCTATGCCAGGGAAATCCAGTGGAAAAATTTATCATGAGTTCAAGAAAAGAGTCTGTAAACACACAATAACCAACAACCACATTGATTGGAGAGTATTTGCCGGGGAGGATGTTTCTGATATAAAACAGCTGCTCCTCAATACAAGCACAAGGTCGTTATTCTGTATTCTGGTTTGCGTGTGTGTGAAATCATTGTCCAAAATCCGGCTCAAACAAATTGTAGCGGAAGGAAAAGGAGCATATTGCCTGAGTAAAGGAATGTCCATACTACATATGTGAAACAAATATATGTGTGGATCAGTGGTTGTGGGTGTATGTGTTTGGATTTGCGCGTTGCTTCTGGAAATTAAGGTGTAAAGGTGTAATTTCTTACTTCTCAAAATTCACGTCCTTGTTGGTTAGTGATATTGAAAGGACAGCGTGAAGCTGACAGATTCCATTTTGCAGCAACAAAAGCTTTTCAGAAAGAAAAAGGAGGAGTGTCCTTTTATTGATGAACCCCCAAACACTACAAGTTTTATTGGTTCTTACTATGTATGAAACAGGTCAAGCAAGACTATCCAGTACATGTTACACCATAAATCCAACTCCTGTCATCACTTTAACGCATATCATAAAATGATTAAGTTGAGGGTTGTACAGTTGTAGATCATGAAGTAATTCTCAAACACAAAGATGGTACATTTGCATAAATGTTTGTAGCCTCTTTTCATGAAAGTACACAACTTAAGATTTTAAAAAATCTGCTTTTCTTGAGCAAATTCGATCAAGGACCATACATATGAAGTTAAGCTTGGTTCGACTCACTCTGATCGAATGCACGTTAGTCAACAATGGACTAGTCTAGTCAACTATTCGCAACCAGCCTATCGAGGTTGGTTGCATCGTTGGTTGCCATCAACCGTTCTTAATAGTACAGAGCAGAGAGGACCAGTTTTAAGAAAAATGCAGGAAAAACAGTATGTCTTTAATAACAATTTTGCTTGTTGTTATTTTGGCCTTCCTGTGGCCACTAGTCCTAATGACCTGACAACATTTGACTAGGGTTTTTTTATACTTCAACTTTACTGTACATGCGCTAGGTACATCACAAACTAACTACTAGTTACTAGTCCTTGATCGATCTTGCCCCTAGATGTACCTTACAGTTAAGTGGGAAATTAGCCTTTCCATGCTAGAATGCACTCAAAAACACTTGTTATTTTCCAATTATGACAAAATGGATAATGGGAAATAACAGCAAGTTGATGAACTCCCTTGAAGATGCTGTTTTGTTGACAGTGTTTTAGTTGCATTGTTTGTGGACAGCATTTCTTATACACACATTCACAAACTTAATTCTGGCTTGTTTGCAATTGATTGTGTTGTGTATTCCATGTTTAAAGTTACTGGTAATACATTACTTTTTTGATGACGTTTATACATACACACTGACATGTCATTTCAGTGAAAGTACACTGTTATTCTTAACTTTCATTTCTGCAGTCTGCCTATTACAGCCCTGATGACTCGGATAATGATGCCAGTGACATTGATACAACAGGCAGGTTTGGTACACAAGTCCAAGCTTGTCCTATGAATCGAGAGCATTTGGCCAACATGGAGGATAAGGGAGCAGCAGTGGATGGGACTTCATCAAGCGATGGTGAAGCAGAGCTAAGACAGGAGACATTTTACACACCTCCTATCAGTGTAACACCAGTGAAACCAAGAAGCAAGTCAGTCAGAGTACAGGTATTGATAGTCTTTCTTTCTTGTAGCTTGACGTGCATATGAATTACCCATATATGGTTTGTGTTCTTTTCAACTGTGTTTATGTATTCTTGTGTGTGGATTCATAAAATCAAAGACTGCAAACAACAGTGTACTTCTAATGCACTGAATGATAAGTTATAGTAGGTCCTGCCCAAGAAATTTTAATAAAATTACAAATAAACACCAATAATTAAAACAATAAAACAAAAAAATAAACACCGATATAAGTATATTCTCTACCCATTGTCAGGAACGGTGCAGTTTAGATTGAATTATCCCATCAGGATGTCAATACGATAATTACCTTGTATGTAATATTCAGACTTTGTTCCCATTTTTCCTCATATTTTGCTGTCATAGTTTAGAGTGTCCTTTAAAGTGAAATATTTGTGTATTATATTTCCTTTTAAAAAAGAAGTACATATTTAGAGGTACCGGTGTATATTTCAAAGTGACTGAGCTCACAGGTTGTAATTGAGATGATTTGGGGATTTCTTTGTACCAGGAGCCATATTCCAGCAAGGATAGTAACGAATGTGGCCAAGCTTTGCCAGTAGCTGATACTGTTTCTGTGTCAGGTAGTGTCATTGCTAGTGAGAATCTAGACAGTGACAAGCGAGACTGTGTGCGTATGCCAGCATTCTTACAGCAACCATTTTGCAATTGTGCACCTCATATACTGCAATTTGTACCCGTCCTTCCTGGAACCACTATGGTTATTGTCAGTCAGGTCAGTATTTTTGTAGCATCCCTTTGCAATGTTACTTGCAGTATTTATGTGTTCATACTGGTACCAATGCTTGACAAGTAAACCATTTAAATGTAATATTCATCTCCACAGCTCTAACAAGTTTTGGTATTTACAATTTTGGCTTTGTTAAAGTTAATGCCAACCCTGTGAAGTACTTCAAGCCTTTTGTTCTCGATTCTGCGATTATTGCAGCTACTCATTGTTTAAATTCTTCTGTGTATGAAAACCTCCTTATCAATTATTTTAAAGGTGAGAGTACAACTGGCCAAGTTAATCAACAATGCATTGTACCTCCTAAACCTGATTAGCCAACCAAGGAGTGAGGTGACAGAAGTTCAACAAAGTTTTTCTCTACGAACCTTATCAGAAGCATTAGAAAATGTCATCAAACAAATCTGTGAGCATGCCAAGAAGTTTAAGGTAAAAAATTCTTGAACAACTTCTTTTCACTCTACATAGTGATACATGTACCATTGGTAAAGAGAGTGTGGTTGTGATTCCATATCTACAGGGTATTTACATTCTAAACAGTGGGTAGCCAGTGTGGCTCTCCATCTGCCAACTTTGAAATATGATGAATTTTGAAAGATGCTTTGTGGCATGTACAAAAAGCTGCACATTTTAAGTGGTGGTTTTATCATTTCGAGTAACTTTTTGTCAGCAACCACAAATTTCAGAAACAATACCTGGGACTTTTATTACACAATAACCTGTTTCTTAGGTTTTTTGTTATGCATAAATATAAATTTATGCAAATTGTGGGTGCAAATTTCAGACGTACATGTACTAATTGGAATTGGGCATACTGCAGACCAATGGCAAATGTTTGTGCGATAAACGTGCTATGATTAGTTGAAATCTCTACAAAATCTTTCAAGGGCATTTAAGCTGAATGCATTCCTTAGGTGTTGGGGAAAATTACAAGGACACGCATGATTCCAGCAGTCAAACATGTTGTTTATTCAAAACACCAACAATCAATGACAACACAAACTTTGCTTGTCTTGTCGATCCGATCTGTCAGACACTGCTGTACTTGATATTGCTGGTTGACAACAAAGAGTGTACTACGCTTTTGCACAGGACATATTTGTACACAGTGCCTGCACATAAAAGCCATTACTGGGTGTTTTTGTTAAGGAATAGGCATTTTACTTGACTGTTTAGAGGCTTGATATGGAAAAGCTTTTGACTATTTGTTTAAATGAGAACCAAAGAACTCTCAGCAGATAAGCACTTGTTGTATACTGTGACGCAGAATAAGCTGTCGCTAAGTGCTTTGGATGCCAAATGGTTCTTGTTACCAAAGGGTATAGGTTATTTGGTTAAGAAACATAACTATAAGAGCTGGGTGGTAACTCTCTGTCTCCAGGAATGACTCAGTTCTTCTCACACAAACAAGCGTTTTGGCTCTTTGGTCAGGTAGTACAGCGTAGGACCCAGTGTTACCTTCTTACCCTTCACTCTTTTAAACTGACTTGTTTTCTTTTCAATTTGGGACATGGTACAAATATTTGGTACAAATATGATCAGTTGTTGTACTGATGCTACCACTTTCTTGTTCACACGGGTAATACAAGTACCGGACTAAAGCATTGTTAAGTATCGGTTTTCTCTGCCGCTCAAGTCAGTAGAGTTGGGTTGGCTCCATTCACAACCGCCGGTAACTGTTTCACGCAATCAAGCATGATCACTTCAGTAGGACTGAGCTCTTAATCTTGATGGTCTCTGATCAACTGGTCTTTTTATCGTTCAAGACTTTCATGACCAGGGGTAAACCCATTCGGTGTTTTGCTCAACCCCCCCCCACCCAAGTTTAACATTTCTTGTGCGTATTTGTGTCCAAACAACCGTTCAGCCAAAGTCATATTATACCGTTCAACAATCCCTTGCAATCGGTGAACCACTGGCTCACCTACAAGCAAATTTACTTTTTACTTTTAAACAAAGTGTTAAATTCAGTTGTAAATTCTGTCCCAGTAAATTGTGTCTCTTTTGTTCTTTGTCGACTTTTTTGTTGGGAGATGCCACTAAACAAAAAATTATACCCGGTGAATGCTGGTGCATTGATGATAGCGCCACCAACCATTATAACAGTTTTAAAAAGTCTCTTAAATTTAAAACATTTAAATTAAAGAAGTATCAATTAAAGAAAGTATATCTTAAAAAGATGAATCAGTGCAGCAAGAAACTAAACCCAAACAGATGGTTAAAATTGCCAAGAGCTATCAAAGGCGAAAGGAAAGACGTTGTGATTACCCTTAACCGTAGTACCATCAGCTCAGGACAAAAACTGATTGTTAAGTGCCCTCCGTTAGGTGTAGATGACGTGATTGTACCCAACATGAGTGAACTAGTGTTCAAGCTCGAGCTAGATGACACATTGGACGACAACAGAAGCGTGTACAACAATGTAGCCCAAAACTTAATTCAAGAAATGTATGTAAAGTTGCAAGGCAATGAGATTGTGAGCTACAGAGACACGGACACGTCCATCAATTTTAAAGACAATTAATTACACACCAACATCACTAAAAACATGGCTTACTTTGGACTCGAATGAGAAAACTGGGCTAAGCTCCATTTGGGAGCAGGCGACCCCAACGACTCAGCCAAAGATAAAGGTAAACATTTGGAAGCAGGTACGCGATTCCTCTGGATGTTCAGCTGTTAATGGATCACATGCCTTTTTTTATCAAACAACTGTTGACGTACGAACTCAAGTTTAATGATCACGATGAAGTTGTGAAGAATACAGATACAGCCGCGCAATACCCTGTGTCTGGAGTAAAAAGTTGTAACCAACCGAGATTTGGCTGAGCGATCTGCAGTAAACATCGGGGCTCAGTGCACTGCTTGTTTAACCAGATTCACAACTTGGAAATGCAAACGGTAAACAATTTTTACATGTTGTAGAATGTCTCGGTCAATGATTAAAAACTTGAAAGGCATCTTGTTTTTGTTTAAAGATTCTGCCATCAAGAACCCTCAGTGGTTTTACAATCCCCATGTCACAAAAACCAGCATTACCGTAGAGGGCAAGCATAACCAAATGTACTCGTAAGGCATGTTCGTATACCAACTTTTGAACGAAGTTTTTTGAAACTCTGAAACCAAGTTAGGGCGAGCTGTTGTTAAAGACTTAAATCTGACAGGTATAGACATGGCCTATCACCTGAAAGACAAGTACAGTTTATGGCTGGACTTCAGAAGCTTCGATGACAACACTACCCATGGATTGGGATGTCCCATCAGCGATGGAAGCGGCATCTCGATACAAATGACAAAAGAAGCTGAAACTGGTGGCCCCCTCAGATAGTCATGGATGCTCAGCTTACTATCGAAAATGGAAATTTTAAGAAGTTGGTGTTTTAAAGCTTCCTAATCTAGCTCTGAATTTCACCGAGTTTGTTTTGGCATTTCTTTTTTAAATGGGTTTCAGCTTGGTTTAGAATAAAACTTGCTAAAATTAAAATGAGTCAAAAACACAAACCACACTGCGCTTTAATCGTAGGCAAAACAAACCCCAGGAAGACCAAGTTGGTCATAGATCTTTTAGAAACTGAGTACCGCTATGTCTTTGAATTGATCGTGATTATGTGCCCGACATTGTTCAAGAATAAAACTTATTTAGACCACTTGTACAGGTCTACACCGACATAACGTCTTTTTGTATGACTTTCATTGAGAAGAATTGAAACTTAAGCTCTGATCTTGTACCGTAATGTTATTGACAACATTAACAGCTCTGGACTTTTGCAGACAGCTGTTCTTCTCACCGAGACATCAAGTACAGAAAAAAGGCATGTGCATTGAGCCACATGGTGTTTTCTGGACGACAATATAATCATTTGTGCTGGCTCTTAACCCAGAAGTACAACTCTGTTCTTAAAGACTACCGTGAGAACACTGCTTTAATCAGGCTTTGGACGAAAACGACATGGTTCTGGACAATGAAAGGGCTTGGTTGAAATGACTCTTGTGCGCCGTGAAGTATTCCAAATTGGTTTTAAAAACAGAGCTCCCTATGTCTTGTTCACTGTTGTAAAAAAAAAAAAAAAATTAAATATAATTTGTAAAAAGTAACAAATAAAAACAATGACAACAGAATCCAAACCGGATATACAAAAGTGTGCAGCGGGTGTAGAAAAACAAAAGATTTTTCTGATGTTAAAGTAAAGATAAATGGTAAGCCTCATTCTTATTTTTAGCGAGTGTATTCAGATGTCAAAAGTGTATAAAGATCAGGACATGACGAATCGCCGTTCGATAGCCCAGTGCAATCAAATTTTCTTTTGGGCAATTTAAAATTTTGACTAGCTGTGTCCATTCAGGCATGTCCAGAAAGGCTGATGTCTTTCCTGTCTTCACAAAACATCTTTCAATAACCTTTTCTCGCATTCAACTGCTTGTTTTTATGTGTTTTTCCTACTTACATTTGCAATGTTTAGGAAGAAACTTCCATTATTTTCACAAGTTCCCATTCACGTTTTGCTGTCGCAGTGGTGAAAACAAAATTTGTAAAGCTCAGTGCATCAAACAAAGCTGCACTGGTTCCTGCCGCACCGCCCCACGCAAAAGAAGGCGTGATGGAAATGTAGGAACCAGAAGAAGTCTATACATGCATGCAACCCTAAAGCTGCAGGTTGAAAAAAACATTGATGTTGCCAGAGGTTTTCTGCAAGTTAATTACAGAACTTCGTCTCTTATTTATGTATGTATTTTCAGTGTTCATGAGTTTAATTTGAAGTTGTTTTGCTTATACTTGAAGCGAGCATGTTTCAAAGGAAAACCGCACCTGGATTTATGATCCTGGCATTTCGAAGAAAGTCAACTGTTATTGTGAATTGCATTTTGTTTCATCGAAATCGATCAGGGGAATGGTACAAAAAAACCAAGGACTGAACATTGGGGAACGCCAGAGGTATTTTAAAAACTGGCATGGACTCATATGCCTGTCCTTCAGTGATGATTTTTTGAGTACGACCACTGAGAAAGTTGCCAATCCGAGTATGCAGTGTACCGGTAATTCCATAGTGACAGAGTTTTAGCAAAACAAGTTTATGGGGCACCTTATCAAAAGCTTTTGAAAAGTCCAATATATCTACATGTACATCCATAGTCTTTTTGTTATCGATTTGTTGATTTATGTCATAAAGGGGTTGTTATTATCTGAGTTTGGGTTGATATCCTGGCCCTAATCCATGTTGATTGTCAGATAAGATATTGAACTTCTTCAGGTGTTTTGTGATATGGCTGGCGATGATGTACATCTTGCAAGGAACAGATGTTAGGGGTAAACATGTAGGACAATAACTCGAAAGATCAGACTTATCTCCTTTTTAAAAACAGCAGACACATACGCAATTTTCCAGGTTGCAAGGACGTCTCCACCATCAATGGATGTCTGAAAGACGTCCTTGAATATTGGTGCCAGTGGAGTAGCCACAACTCTAAATAACCATGGAGGTATACTGTTAGGGCCGGGTGCTTTAGAAGGAGCTAGGTCTTTGAGCAGCTTTTGTACACCTGTTGTTGAGATTTCTAGTTTTGATATATGTTGTATACCTTGAAGGTCTGGCAATGAAGACAAGTGATCCGGATCGAATGCTCTCTGGAAACATCTGTTCAATATATCTGCCTTGGATTTACTATCATGCACTGCCACCATCACCGAGCAGTAATTTCGAATTGTGGAGACAAGGAGGCCAGAGCGGAAAATATGAATGAAAAAATCGGTCACAACTGAAAGAGGTGGAACAGTTGGATCCACCGAACGTCCTTTGCACCATGAGTCAAAATGTCTTAGTTGGCTGTCATAAATCTTTCTTGTGGACTCTCGTCGACCTTTGGCAGCCAAGGCAGCATTGTCTTGAGAAAGGTCTTCTGCTTGAAGGATCGCGTGACAACGTCCAACACGTTAAGTGTAGGTGAGTGGGGTCCGGATGCAGTAGACTAGACCTGGGTGGAAACAACAAATCTGAACGTGGAGGCAGAAGAAGGGGAACATCAATCAGAAGCCTGCCTAACCGGGGGAACCACGCTTGTCCTGACCAGAATGGGGTGATGAGAAGAATGCGGCAATTGCATTGTTCGATCTTTGTCAGTACCAATGGAATAAGTGATATCGGAGGGAAAGCATAAGCTGGAAGACCCTCCCAAGAAATGTGTAGGGCATCGAACACCCATGCCTGGGGATGTGGATAGTGGCTGCAAAATGTTGGCGGTTGAGCAAAGAGGTCCACGTGAGGTCTGTTTATCACCTGAAAAAGAGCTTGAACGATCTCTGGTTGTAGGGCCGACCAGAGATTCCCTTGATTTCCGATAGGCCAGACCGGCCCCTACAGGCCACATTTGAAGCAAGATATGGGATGGAGAGAACCCCCCCCCGCCTTTTTTTGGCCATTGTTTTTT